CCATCAGCTCAACAAGTTTCTTGTTTTTTACCTTGATGACATCCTGATTGTCATCAAGTTCACGGAAGAGCACGTCAAGCACCTTGAGGAAGTCTTGAAGATTCTCAAGCAGGTACAGTTGTACCTCAACTTAGAGAAATTTGAGTTTGGAAGGGACAGTGTCATCTATCTTAGGCAACGGTTGTCTGCAAAACGACGTTGAGTCGGAAGCAACCAAGGTTGAGGTCATATGAAGGTGGCCTCAACCGGCGAACGTACGCAAACTGCGTTCCTTTCTAGGTTTGGCTTCGTATTACCGGAAGTTTGTTCCTAAATTTTATGTCATTGCTCACCCACTCTCGCGACTAACAAGCAAAAATGTCACTTATGCGTGATGTGAGAAATGCGAGATCGCGTTTCAAGCCTTGAAAGAGGCTTTGGTAGGTCATCCTGGACTCCCGTATTGCGGATCCGAACCTCATGTTTGTGGTCACTACGAACGCGAGCCAGTATGGGATTGGCGCAGTGCTGCAACAAGATGATGGCGATGGTCTGCGTCCGCTCGAGTATTACAGCAAACGCATACTCAACCACAAGGTAGCTACCTCCACATATATGTGTGAGCTTGATGCCTTGCGAGAGCGCTCACACATTGGAAGCACTACCTCTTGGGTCGTCACTTCAAGGTTTACTAAGATCATTAGACCTTACAGAAGTTGCAGTGGATTAAAACACAAACTGATCTCTCTCCGACGTTGACCCGCTAGTTGCATGACATTGATGTTTACAATTTTGAACTGAAACAGAAGAAAGGTTGTTATAATCATGTTGTTGATGCTTTGTCGCGTCATCCTGAGTTTTTGACTTGCCTTATGAGCTCATATGATCGTCGAAGGAAATTGAAGGAGGATCTGGTCGAACACACTGCCAAGGATCTAGACCTTAGTCTCATTCTTGAGCAGATCAAGGCTGACCCTAGCAACCAGCCTGATTTTCACGAGTGTGAGGGTCTTGTACTCCGACACTATGGGAAATTTGATCATTTGTGTGTGCCCAACCATGCGCCTCTCCGAACTCATTTCTTGGATCTCGCACATGGTCTGAGTAGACACTTCGGCTTTGAGAACACTTATGAAAGTCTTTTCCAAGTTTGATTGGCCGGGAATGAAGGGATCTGCTCAGAAGTTTATTGTTGAATGTCAAGTCTGTCAGAGAACCAAGGTCCATATGCATAAGCCTTATGGTCTGCTGAAACCCCTCCCTATTCCTAATGGACCCGGTGAGTCGGTTTCCATCGATTTCACGGATATGGGAAAGGTGAGTGAAGGAGGAAATTCACAAGTCATGGTCATGGTGGACCATTTCTCCAAATTTCTGAATTTGATTCCTTTACCTCCTCATGGCCCAACCGAGCTTGTGATCGAAGAATTTCATCAACAGTACATTCTGCAGCTTGGCCTTCCGAAAACTCTTGTGAGTGATCGGGACACCAGGTTCATTAGTAAAGATTGGAAGGATTTCACCTCTCAAATCTACAACATTAAACTCAACGTGACTTCTGGTCGGCACCCCGAAGCCAATGGGTTGGCCGAGGAAATCAACCATACCGTCATTAAACTACTTCGCATGTTAATTGTTCCCGATCAGAACACGTGGGACAAGGAGTTATACAAAGTGAAGGGGTTGTACAATAACTTCATTCACTTCTCGACTGATGTGACACCGAATCAGATGCAATACGGTTTGTAGCTGCGCAATCCTTTCTCCTATGTATTCCCCGATCGGTCACTTGGACTGATGCCCGACATGCCTGGCTACAATGCCAAGTATGCACGCTTGCTCAAAGCTGCTATCGCAGCAATGAACAAGCGTCAGCATGCCATGATCAAACATGCTAACAAGTCACGCAAAGATGGGAACTTCGAAGTAGGAAGTTGTGTCCGGGTCAAAATGTTTGAATTTTTTAACGAAGAGGGCATATCACGGAAGCTTCTTCCGTTGTACTATGGCCCTTGGCAATTTCTAAAGGTGGTAGGGGATGATTTTGGTCCTTCGTATGTGATTGACGTGCCTCCTCATCTACGCACGTATCCGGTCTTTCACGCGTCCAAATTGTTTCCACACATCGATCATGAGACTTTTCCCTTCCGAGATCCTATGATACCTAGTGCTATCAACGGTGACCACAAAATAAACAGAATTGTTTCCCATGAAGGAAGAGGGAGGAACGGATAGTACAAAGTTCACTTCCGTTATCACCCGTTGAATGAGTTGTACTGGATCGACCGAAAGAAGTTGTTAAAGAATGTTCCCCGTGTTGTTAACGCTTATGAACGAAAGATCGCCGATGGACAGACTGCCAAGTTTTCTGCAACACTCACTCCTCGCGGTTATACTGAAACTCTCTTTCTTATCTACGCCTAATGATGCATTTTGTGCTGATTCTGAATGAGTTACTCGCTCGAAGGGACCTCGGTTTTGACAGGGGGTTAGTGTAATGACCCACCAAAACATAGACGGCGAACACTGCTGATTTCTGGGATTTGCCGCTGGAATGTATGCCTTCCTGAGATTCCCACATTCTGCTGTGATTTCTAAGTTTCTATGTGTGTGCATGCCTGCTGGTCTGCATGCCTGTCTGAGTGCTTGTCGACCTGAGTGTGTGTGTGACCCACAAGGGTACTTGCTGGTTGAAAGGCGCCGCAGGGCTGGTACTTACCTGTGGCCTTGACTTTGAGGGTTGGAGCGGGGAAAACACTCAAGTAGCGGGGGTAGGCCCGCAACACTTAGAGCAGCGGGAAAAACACTCAAGTAGTAGGTAGGCCGGTACCACTCAAGTAGTGGTAGAAGTGTCGGGTACTGGAGGCTGAGCAAAAGAAGACAAAAGTTGGCATTTTTAGAGGCCCGGTAGCGGTAGGTTAGAGGTGGGCCGGTACCTGTCCAAGTAGCCTGAGTCTAGGGACTATCCGGACGATATTTGAGCGTGCAGTGATGTTTCCCTCTGAAAGGGAGGAGGTACCGGTTGTTGGGAGGCCGCTCGGCCTAGTAAGTCACTGCCCAAGAGGCCAGTAGGCCACTATATCTTCAAGAGGAGCAAGCAACTTCTCCTCATTTGCGGTATGGATTGGCGACATACTGTTGGAGCCAAGCGCTGGACATGGGAGCGCTGCTGGGAGGCGGAGAGCAGTGGAGTGCTCAGCCTAGCTATGATGAGCAGCCCAGCCTGAGGAGGAGGAAGACGGGGCCAAAGGAGGAGAGTGGCGAGGTACCTACCTGGCTATGGTGGACACCATCTTCATCACCTTGTTGGGTGTTGCATCTGGAAGGCCCAGTTGGGGTAGTGCCACACCAAGGAAGCTCGAGGCAGAGTCCGACATCCGACATGACGGCTTATTGAGCAGCGGCATAGCTGCTTTGCATTGTTCTTTGGACAGGAGTGCAGCGACATAGCTGCTTTGCGTTGTCTTTGCACAGGAGGTTAGAGCCCTTAGTAGTCCGACATAGCCTAGGAATGTGAGAGGAGGAAGAAGGGGGAAGCCACGACTATGGTGAACCTGCTGTTGTGTCAGCAGTAAGAGGGAACTTCGGATATTGATTCTGGTTCATCCACTCGTTGTTATTATTATTATTGGAAGAAGAATAAGATTGGCAAAGTGAAGGAGGAGGAAGGTGGAGAGAGAAGGGGGATTTGTCATTGGTCTTGTTGGTGTACATCTTCTTCTTTTTCTTCTTCTTTTTCTTCTTCTTTTTCTTTTCCTTCTTCTTCTTCTTCTTCTTCGTCTTCTTCTTCTTCTTTTTTTTTTCCTCTTCTTTGGTCTCTATCTCTTTGCAAGTGCTTCCATTTGTTTCACACTTGGGTGACATTGTGTTTCATTGTGAATTTGCACTTTGGGAATGACCAGGATCGTAAAAATACAAAGGCAAAGGTTAAGCAATATGGCTTCGGTTTGACTTGATCTTCATAAGCTCACAAGCGGTTAACAGGGACCCCCACTTTTCGGCCCGGGTTTATCAAGTCGAGAGATAATAAACTATTTATGTGAAAAACAACTTGGATTTTTTTGTGAGAGTTTACCCATTGTAGGATGGACTTGCATGTGGTTGAGTGTAAACTCTACGTATTCTGAGTCTTAGCTTTAATGGGTAGTTGCTTTAAAAGCTCGCCACATGCTTAAGCTATAGGAATTAGTTCAATTTCTGCAGTTTCCGAGTTAAGTTTATTTCTCATACTTGACTTTGTATAAATCTTGGAAAGGCACTTTCACTAAGGGAAGTGTTGCTCAAATTTAACCGGTAACTTTATCACCGACGCGTGTGTCCGGAAAGCTGGTCTCACTTCTACCGGTTACGATTCCCCGATTACCATTCGTTTAGGGGACAAAGACACCGCCGTCGTAGTAGACCGCACAGTCCCCGAGACCACCATGACTGTCGGAACCCTCCACAGTCAGGTCTTATTCGATGTCATGCACTTGATGTGCGACATCGTCTTGGGAATCCACCTGACCAACCCCCCCGACACGCCCATCGACATCCCCTATTTCCCCCACCCTACCTCCCAAAACTCTGTCACCCCTCACCAATTCCTCCACATGGCTCGTGAGAACCCCGACTCCATCTACTATTGCCTTGTCCTTGATCGCGAGCGCCCCGAGGACCTATTCTCAACGGACACCCGATCAAACGCCGCCCACCAACCCCGCCTTCACCTCCATCCTCAATGCGTTCAAGGATGTTTTCCCCGAGTCATTGCCCACCGGACTACCCCCGGATCATGGTGTCTCCCATACCATCGATCTGGAACCCATCCACACTTCGTCGTGCCCCCCTCCATATCAACTCTCTGTCCTGGAAGCTGAAGAAATGAAGCGGCAGCTCAATGAGCTCCTTGAACAAGCCAAACTCCTCACCCTTCGGTACACGCTGCCTTTTTGTCAAGAAAGGCGGAACCTCGAAATTAACGATGTGCACAAACTACCGCGCCTTGAATCGGATCACGATCAAGAACAAGTACCCCCTACCTTGGATCTCCAAGCTTCTTGACCGCCTCCGTGGAGCCAAGTGTTTTACCAAGATCGACCTTCACAGTGGCTTCCACGAGATTCGCATCCGCGAGTAGGACACCCACAAGACCGCATTCCACTCTCGGTTCGGGCACTACGAGTTCCTCGTGATGCCTTTCAGACTCACTAATGCCCCCGCCATATTCCAATCCACCATGAACCACATCTTCCACAACCTCCTCGATGTTTGTTTCGTCATATACCTCGATGACATCCTCATTTATAGTCCCACCTTCGAGTCCCACCTTCAACACCTTCGCCAAGTCCTCTCCATCCTCAGAGAGCAAAAATTTTACGCCAAGCTCAGCAAATGCACCTTTGCTGCCTCTACCATAGAATACCTTAGCCACATCATCTTTACTGAAGGAATCCGTTTGGACCCCTCGAAGGTCACCGCCCTCGTTGAGTACCCCCCGCCCAAAACCCTACTCCAATTACGCCCATTCCTCGACCTTGCAAACTATTACCGCCCCTTCATCCGCAACTTCTCCGACATCTCTTACCCACTCCATGAACTCACATGCAAGGATGAGCCCTTCAACTGGAACGACCGACGCCAAAACGCCTTCGACTTACTCAAACAAACCATCACCACGACCCCCGTCCTCAAGATCGTTGACCCCTCTCGATATTTCTACGTTACCATCGACGCATCCGACTTCGCCACTGGAGCCGATTTATCCCAACACTTCCCTCGCGACACTGCCAAAACCCCCTCCATCAAAGACTCCCCCCACCCACCCCAAGGCTCCACCCGACGAATACCCCATCGCCTTCGCAAGCAAGAAGGTCCTTCCCGCGGAGATGAACTACCCCTCCAACGAGAAGGAACTCCTCGCCGTGATCCACGCCCTCAAAGTCTGGCGCCCCAACCTCGACGGGCAATACTTCACCAACCGCACTGACAACACCATCGTCTTCTCTATCCTCACTAAGAAGGACATCACACCACGCCAAGTCCGCTGGTTGGACTTTTTTGCCCAATTCACATTCACCATTTGCCACATCCCCTACAAAAGCAACCGCGTTGCCGATGCCCTCTCTCGACACCCCAACCACAAGCCCCCCGAGAAAGTCTACGCCACCATGACTCATATCCAACTCCCCCATCACTCCACCATCGCTACACCCAAGGCTACCTCTCTTGCCCAGATTTCTCGACTATCTACAACAAACTCCGTGACCTCGACCCAGTCGCTGACTACTCCCTTCGAGATGAACTTCTTTACATCGACACCAAAGGCACTCGCCGATTTTGCATCTCGAACGCACGTGGTCTCCGTACCCAGCTCTTAGCCGAGCACCACGTTGCCAAGACCGCGGGACACCTCGGGTTCCAGAAAACCTTCGACACCATCTCCCGCTACTTCTACTAGCCTTCCCTACTCGTCGACTTCAAAGCATGCATTCGTTCATGCCCCACATGTCAAGTTGTCAACCCCTCGAACCGGGCCAGACCCGGCAAGCTACAATCATTGCCTATCCCCACCCACCGGTGGCAGTCCATCTCTATGGACTTCGTGTGTGGTCTTCTCAAGGCAAACTGCGACCATGATTGCATTTACGTCATCGTTTGCAGCTTGACTAAACGTGCCCATTTCATCCCTTGCGCCACGTCGCACAACGCCAAAGAGGTCGCCACCCTCTTCTTCGATGTGCCATCATTGGCTCCCCAAGAACATCATCAGTGACTGTGATCCCCACTTCCTCTCACAATTCTAGAAACACCTCTTCAAAACATATGGAACCACGGTCAAGTATAACACTGTATTCCACCCCAGACTGATGGACAAACCGAGAAGATGAATGATACTCTCCAAAGAATCTTGAGGAAGTATTGTCATCCACACCAACATGACTGGGATCAGTTGCTCATAGCCGCTTTCCCTCTGACTTCTTGCTCCCTTCACAACTCAACCCCTCCACCCCCTGCCCTTCTCTTAATGGATAGGTAGCAAGAATGAACAGACTCCTCAGAGAAGCAACCGAAGCCCTTGAAAGAACACAAGAACAACAAGCCAACAAGATCAACAAACACAGACATGACGTGTCATTCAAAGTAGGGGACAACGTCTGGCTTTCTGCCAAACGCTTTGAACCCGAACAAGGCTTGTCCAAGAAACTCTCGAACAAGTGGCTATGTCCCTTCCCCATCATTGAACAAACCTCCCCCGTCAATTACAAACTCCAGCTCCCCCTTGACATGAGTCGTGTCCACCCTGTCTTCCATGTAGAATACCTAAACGAATACCATGAATCCCCACCCCAATTCGCTAACCGCCCAAATCCTAGACCTCCACCAATTATGTCACCCACAGGCCCTGAATTCGTCGTCCAAGCCATTATAGGACGAGGAACTACTCCGGTATCTGATGACCAATTGTTCCCTTTGGCCGACACCTTGGACTCGCAGACTTCTGGAGCAGCACCTTTGATATGGACATCAAGATTAATCTGCGACCTTCTATCCAAATCAAACCTCATCATCAGATCGTGTACCGGACGCAACCTGCTACTGGGACAATCAAGTTGAAGCCTTTGTCGTCTACATCACAAGAACTGATGAAGACTGCCTCCTCACCGACATTTCTGCGACACCCTCCAAGACCTTCCTCAAGATATTTTTTTTTCGCATTTTTGACACTTTGTTACAAACCTGAAATGTTGTTTCCCCAGATCACTCAGACACCCCAGCACTTGAGCATTGAACAAATAATTTTTCTTTTTCTTTTTCTCAAACCTGACAACCTATAACCTTGTAGAACACCAATAGGACTGCCCCATTACTTGTAGAACCTCAATAGGATTACCCTTTGAGCATTGATTCCCTCAACTACCCTGTTACCTGCACATTGATACCTTTACCCTTGAAGAACATCAGTACGATTACATTGTTACTTGCATTACTCCCCCTTTTCTTTCCAACAAGTAAACGGCCCCGTCCCGTCCTTCACAGTTGTTCATTAGGACTTCGGCAGCTGGGACGTTGTCTTCTAGAGGGAGGGATAGTGTTACGGACTCAGCCAGGGCCTGGACCGCGGGTTACCACCCCGCCATGCTGCTATTTTATTTTTTTGAGTTTCTAATCTCCGACTCCTGACTGTTGGCGCCCTCTGCGGTTGGAGCATGTTCTTAAATTCCTCCTTGGACACTTTCGGATTTCGATACTTGGCGCCATCCGGTATTCTGGCGTCCGAACTCAGACCTTTGATTCTCAGTTCAGCCCTGAGGCAAATTGCACTTTTGCCCTTGGGATTGAACTTGAGTCCGGTACTTAAGACCGGACTCAAGCCCAGTACGGGCACTCAATTTTCAGCCTTAGTGCTTGTGCTTCAGTGCGACTTGCTACGACATTGTGTTCGGAATCCAAAATTGCAACTTTGCCACTTTGTGTCTGCGTCCATCGAGTCCTGTCGAGTCTGCGTCGAGTTGAGTGAGTGTGTATGTGTGCTCTCACTATCCCTCTCTCTCCCAGCCTCACTGCTCTGCCTCTGCCTCGTCACAAAAACCCTTGGGGTGGATAAGGGGTTGAATGCATGATGGAGTTAGTGCTCGCTGACACCCACGTACCACACATGGAACCTTCGACAATTGAAGAGGGGCCACATCAGGTTGAAGCGCATGAGAGTTTGGTAGGAGGCATGTATGTCCTAGTTAATACTCTACTTCAAGTGGAAGCCTCAAGGATAGACACCCAAGAGCGTGGTAAGGACAAAGAGGAGGATGCAGAAGAGGATGAAGAGTTTGAGGAAGGGGAAATAAAAGAGGCATTTAGTGAGGACAAGTACAAAGGAATATATTTGGAATTGGGGTCACTTCTTTCATGCGAAATAAGGAAAAGGGAGGTTGGTCAGAAAACTTTCAAGATGTGTCCGCATTTCTTGGTAAGGGATGACCACTTGTTCATTTGGGGGAGAGGATGTGAACGGAGGAGGGTGGTCTCCTACGTGACATCCGCGGCCTAGGCCGCGGGCTATTCGGCCGCTGCGAGCGAAAAAGTCGGCCGCGGCCACGGCCGATGAGGCCTAGTCCGCGGCCTGTTTTTTTAATATATTTTTTTCACCCCTAAAAATAAGTTAAAAATATATATATATAGGGGTGTAGGGCTTGGAAAACCCTATAACCCTATGTTTTTTATTTTGGAGTCCGACTTCATTTAAGATTTAAAAAAAATAAAAAACGAAGTTCGATTTAAACAAAATATTTAAAAAAAAAACAAAAAAAGAAAAAACAGAATTTTTTTTTGGCATTTTTTATCATGAGGGATATGTTTCCTGAGTTGTGCTGTATTTTTTTCATAAATTATTTTTGTTTTTTTGTAGGGAAATTAGGTGTTAAAAAAAAATGAAGATACAAAAATTTTAAACAAATCAACAAAAAAAGGGGCCAAGCTGGGGTTGGTGTGTGTGTGCGTCCTCTTGTGTGTGTGTGTGTGTGTGTGTGTGTGTGTGTGTTGCTGTGTGTGTGTGTGAGAGAGAGAGAGTCCATCAATCAATCAAACCAATCAAGATCCTGTCGATTCGATAGGATCTTCATTGGTTTGGTTGATTGATTGATTGATTGATTGATTGTGTGTGTGTGTTTGTGTGTGTGTGTGTGAGAGTGTGTGTGTGTGTGTGTGTGTGTGTGTATGTGTGTGTGTGTGTGTGTGTGT